GTGCTGTGGGGTGTGGCCGCGCGGCAGGGGCGGCAGGGTCGCAGAGCGCGGGCACGCGGCGGGCGGGGGCGTGGGGCAGGGCGGTGTTGATGGGTTGTCGACTCAGAGGGGCCCCAGGTCTTCTGGGTTGGAGGTGGCTACGTGCACGTGACGGCGCGACTGCATCGAGCTGTGAACAGTGGACCGAAGACCCTGCAATCCTTGCAACATTCAGCCCCAGAATAAGGCTTGGCAACAAAAAGCGAGGGCAGGAGGCGCAAGCAACCGGGGCCCACCTGCAGCAGGATCCAACGCCGCCGACACCGCCCGTCACCAGCAGATCCTGGCAGAACTGCCACTCCCCGTCACCCGGCCCGTAACTCGGTGACGCCAGCAGTGACGCGCACCACTCGCGCCGCGCGCCGCACGGCAGCGTCTCCCGCTCGTACCGCCCGTCCAGCAAGATCAGATCTATGCCGTCCGAGGCAAGATCTGACTGCACTTTGGACGATCTGGACGATCTGGAGGATCTGGGGCCCAAGACGGAGGCGGAGGCGGAGGCTGGGCCGGAGGGGAGGGTGTAGTGCGTTTGCAGTCCGGTGACGGCGCCGCGGCGGGGGCTGGACTGGGGGGCTCCGAGGGCGTCCAGGTATAAATTCTGACTCATGTCGGTTGATGTCGGTTGATGACACAGCGCCCAGCCGTGGAGGTGGGAGGGGCGGTGAGGAGCGGTTTTTGTGGTGGGCAAGGCCATGGAGAGGTTGAAGTTTCAGACCTACGCGGCGGCGGGCAGGAGGCGCACTAGCTGGTCGCAGACGCGGACGCCTCGACTTCCCAGCCTTTGCAATAGCGCTGCAGGGACGCTTGGCTAACCTGACGCGCGCGCGTGTGCGGTGGTGCGGAGCGGGGTCAAGACAGCTCGCAGGATGACATTGCATGCTGCAAGGGCCCCCGTCAGCTCAGCCCAACAAAGCCCACCTTGATTTCAAGCTTCACAGGGTTCCGGCCATCGCCATTATTCCAACCTGCCGGCACGCATCAACGGATGCGTTCGCAGCTTAGGTGTCAGGGTTTAAGGGCAATGCGTCGCTTGGAGCGCGGCGCACGGCTCGGGGCGCCCCACTCAGCAAGAAACAAGGTTAAGACGCCTCTACGTTCGCCGCTCTGGAATCAATGCTGACACTGCGACCTTGATCCCTATCATACGTCCTACGCACACATGCAGGGGCCGGTGCTGGACTGGCACCTCGCTGGGGCTGGCCAGTCACCCCTGGAGGGCTGGCTGGCACGCAGCGGTTCTGGCCTGGCGCAGCCCATGACATGCAAAACTTTTTTGTTAAGCAGAACAGACAACAATCTTGTGAGCCGGCCGGCACCAACGCAGCAGGCCTGGAAGATGAATTTGTTTTCAGAGCCAAACACCAAAAGGGACTTTGCAGCTGAGCCACCCACCAAAGTCGTGGTCGTCCCAAACCCCAAATATGGGGCGTGGGCACTGCCGCGCGTCCGAGCCGTCTGGCGGGTGACCCGAAGAGTGACTGGGTGACCCGGTGACGTCGTCGTTTGGCGGCGGGCACATGAAGTTGATAAAAGCACGGTACTCCGGGCTCGCCAGCTGCGGAGTGATGATTTTGAGGGACGCGTTTGGTGTTGCGATGTGCTTGGTGCCTAAATGAGCAGAGGTGGAACGCTGATTTAGGTGCAAGAGGAGCGGGCTGTGGTCGCAACGACACAGGGTATCAGGGGGACCTCGGGTGGCAATCGGCATGATGCAGGGTCGTTTGAAGGTGGCAAAACATTGGCTGCTGCCTGTGCTGAAGACGCCCTGCCGAAGGCACGCCCACTGAAGGGGCCATCGCGGCCCACCAACCCACTCCAGTTGGTGTGTGGTTGCATGTGTGTGTATGCATGTTTGCACATGTGTGTGTGTGTGTGTGTGTGTATGTGCGCGTGTGTGTATGTGGGTGTGTACTTGCGTGCGTATGTATTTGATCACGGAGGCTGAGGGCTCACCCTTCCCCCTAGTACAAGCACACATCGATGCCCTTGCCTTGAAAACTCACGCGTGCACACACACACACACACACACACACACTCACACACACACTCACACATGCACGCGCGCTACCTGGTGCTCGACCCTCGCGCGCGCGTGCACCACGTCCCCCGCAAAGCACTGGAAGGGCGGCCGGCGCATGAAGGTGGCGCTGCAGTTGCACTCTGGGAACCCGGGGACGGCCGCGCAGTCGACCTGCCATCATTGGGGGGGGGTGGGGGCGGGGGCGACGAGCCCCTGCGTATCATCAGTGGCGTCCACACAACACACCAAACTGGGGGATGGCGACTCAGCACATGCAAAAAGGCGAAATGAGCGCATTCGACCGAGATACATGCATGCATTTGCACCTGTTGCACACCCTGCTGTGGACTTTCCCCTTGTCGCTGCACCCAGGGAGAGCGTCATTCAAAGCGCAACCCTCATCCCTCGCATCCCCAGTGCGTCTCAGTGTCGAATTGAAAAAGTTTAACAACCCGCCGCAAGGACAGATTAGCTTTTTAACGCCCAGATCAGCCCAGATCACCCCAAGAGATCACCAGGGGCTCGTCCATGTACACCATGTCCCCCAGCCACACCCATGCGTCAGGGTTCGCGGGGATGACCCCCTCTGTCCACACCCGCTGGGGCCTGGGGGCGATGGATTTGGTTCGTTTGTGGGGGTCAACTAGGTTGATGGGGAGGTGAAAGATGAAAATCGTTGGGAGGGGGTCGCAGGTGGGGGTGGCGCCACTCAGGCGCACTGCGCACGTGCACATTGCTGACCGGGCCACATGCGCTGACGCGGCGCCGAGACCGCGCAACATGCGTGCGTTTGTTGCACGCATCAAGCGCCAGGGTTCGCAGCAGGGGCGCCGGCCGTCGCGCGCCTGAGGTCGTAGGCGGTGCAGGAGCCGAAAGCTATTCGTTCGATAGGGCCCCATCCGCCCGCTGCCTCCTCAGCTGCCGCCTCGGAAATCCGATGTTTGTTCGCAACCGCCAGGCTGAGCGCGGCGATCGAGAGCACCGAGGAGATTGCTACAGCAGAGGCGAGCCACAGCAGCTGCAGGCGCGTGCGGCGGCGGCGCGACGCGGCGGCGGGCGCGGCAATTCCAAAGTCGTTCTCGGCGTCGAGCGCCCCGCTGCTCGCGCCGCGAGGCGCGAGGGGGCTGCTCTCGTCGACCCTGAAGGCCTGCATATCCACGAACGGAAGCAACCCGCCGTGCGCCGCGCCTTCTGATCGCTGGTTCGGGTGTCGCCCGGCTGGCGAGCCACTTGGTCAGCTGCTGCGCAATCGGGCGTCACCCAGGGCGGTGCGCTCGCATGCGCTGGAAGGCCCGTCGAGGCTGGCAGTCATGATCGCGGCCCCATATTTCAAGGTACCGACTGCCGTGGTGCACAGGTATGTCGAGTGGGGGAAGCGCGCAAGTTTGATCAGGTTGATCTGCGGTGCCGTGGTTTCTTTAAGGAGTAACGCAGTAATCAAGCATGAAGGTAATACGCTCGGCCGATTGGCGCTTCCATCAGCCGGCCATCCGTGAGACGCGCAGCCGTGGCGTTGCGTCACCAGCACGACTCCCTATCGGATCCGCCTCGCCGCTTTTCCCAACCGCAGCAGTACAGCAACAGTTTCTGTGCAAGATGTTGAAAAATGAAATCAAGGGAGCAACATCCAGGCATGCGGCTCAAATGGTGTGCGCGGTTGTCCGTGTGAAGCGTTGTTCGCCCACACAAGGCTGGCTCAGACTGGACGTCTGCAGCCCAGGGCCCGTGCGTCCCTGCATGCCCGTTTCTACCCCTGTGAGCCGCTCCCTCTTCCCAGATACATTCATGTATTTAACTATTAATATATTGTAGCCCGACAGCATCGTTTGACAGGCCGCTGGCCTCGTGCCCCGCTGCGGAGCGAGCCAGGGCACCAGGGGACAGGGGAGGGCGCCGCTGCGCACGGCTTCACTCCCGCCCACAGGCCCCTCGCACAAGGCGCAGCCGCCGCACGGTGCAGCGGCGCTTCGCTGATACCGCCATTGATGAGGGCTTGTGGATAGGGGAGGGGGGTGCAGGGCCGCTGCCGACGCATAGCTGGCGGGGGACACTAACGCGCAGAGAGAACAGGGCCCAGCGCTCTGGTGATGTAGGGGTGTGTGCGCAGCGACATCTGCATGAGGTGGCTGAGCCTAGAATCAAAGATGATGCAAGATGTCCCGTTGAACAAAACCTTTGAATGCTTGCACGCGGTTGTTGAATCAGAATGCAACGGTCGGCTGCCGCTCCAATCATTGACCAATGATGCATCCTCGCAGCGCCTGACGCGCAAGTCAGAGCGCTGATACGCTCAGGCCTATCAATCAGACAGACGCGTTTCTGTAACCCGTGATCATCTCCATGTTGTTATGAGGCGCGTCTGGCGCCAGTCACTACTTTCGTGACCAGTTCATCAAGCTGGGTGACACGCCACCCGTGTCCGTGTTACTCATTATTTCTATTTGATTAAATCAAGGTTTTTGACAGTAAGTTGTTGGCATAAATACAGGCAAGGTGTGGCAAAGCTTGAAAGAGACCAGTGCGCCTGATCAACCCGACTCGAGGAATCCGAAGGTGCAGTTGTGACGAAAATATCAGGTGATTGATCTTTGACACATCCACCGCCTGCACAGCCCCTCGGGCCGCGCGCAGCAGCGCTCGGCACTTGGCGCCTCGCGCGACGCCAACACGACTCAGCGTCAACGCCCCGCGGCGCCTCGAAACGCGCAGTGGCGCTGGCAGCACAGCCACATGGCGGCGGAGGATGATTACAAGCCTGAGTATGTGGAGCTGAAGCTCATGGGGCACGTCGCCCAGAAGGGTGGGTGCGCAGCTGGACCCTTATGCACCGCTGCCTCACCCGGCGGCACCTCCTGCCTCGGTTTGGCCCCCCTCCCCCGCGGCCCACCTGCCGCTAGGCACTCGACTATGTCCATACCACTTTATGCACCCCACACGCAAGCTGCACGATCGCCGCCACCACCACCACCACCACCGCCGCCGCCACCACCGCCATCCCCGCGCCATCACCGCCGCCTCCGCCCGCCAGGCTTCCAGGCGGGATCTCTGATCGGCCTGGCGGCCGTCGTGCCCATCATGGCGCTGCGCCGCAGGGCGCTAGACGCGGCCCTAGTCACCACCGGCGCCGGCTACGGCGCCCTGGGCGGCCTCGCGTTGACGGGTGGGCGTCGCAGGGGATGGAGTATGGGCGCGAGCGCGCGTGCGTGTCGACCGTTTGTTCGCGTCGGCGGCGTGGGGCGGGCAGCTGAGGGGGGAGGTGCAGAGCATGGAGGGATTCCTTGACGAGGGGGGCAGGTGTGGGAACGAGTGCGTCTGGGAAGGAATTTGAGAGGCGTGCGAGTCGGGTGGCGTCAGGGGGGGTGTGGGTTGGTCGAGTGCGCCCCAGCCACCGCTCCAAATGGCCGCCGCGAGCGTTGGAAGGACGGGGGCGCTGAGCTGTATGGGCTGGCGCCATCCCTGTGCAAAAAAGGCGCGTTTGGGGCAAGGATGCCCGCTGCTCTTCCTTGAAAGGGGCAGCCAGGTCCCGAGCCGCGCGCCACACTTCATGCGGGCGCCGCGCCGCGCGACGCCGGCCTCATCCCAGCCCCCATCCCACTCGGCACGTGCGCAGCACTGCAGGCTGGCGTCACACCGCCCCAGCCTCCTGCCCCTCCACCCGTGGCGTGCGTACGACAGCTGCTGATTGTCGCGAAGCCCGCTGCCCTTTGCGGCAACGAGGAAGCGGGTCCGCATCCGGGCCACACCCTTCCTTGCCATTATCTGTCTACCCTCCGCACGCACGCGCGCGCACGCACACACACACACACACATACACACACACACACACACACGCCGCGCAGTGGTGCTGGGTCTGGCCAAGCGCGCCAACATTGACAGAAAGGGCGTCGAGGACAGGGTTTACCGGCTGTCACACAACGAGGGCCAAAACAGGACCGACTCGTTCTGCGCGGTGAGTGGGTGACCGGGTGACTGGGTGACCGGGTGACTGGGTGATTGGTGAGCGAGTGCGCGGGTGTGTATGATCGCGTGCTGCATTTTCTCAACGCCTGCCCCTCCAGCAGCAGGCGGATGCCCCGTCAGCCCTTTTCCAGAGTGCGCCCCAGCCAGCCGCAGCGCCTGCACGCGGCCTGCCGCACTGGCCGCAAGGCTCCCCCGGCGCTATCCACACACTCCCCCACACAAACGCGCACAACATTGACAAATGTTCCTTCTCGGTGTCAACTGTACCAATTCTCACCTCATGTAGACCCCTGAACAAAAACTGCGACATGCCGGCCTGCTGACAAACCACTCCCTTGCGCTCACAGATCCACATACCTTCATCAGCACACGCAATACTCAACCCCCCAAAAACGCAACCGCCAGGTCGGCTCTACCCTCGGCCTTGCGGCCGCCGCCTACCTGCTTCGCCAGTCCAACGCGCCCCGGCCTCCGCCCGCGCTGAACCTGGTCGGCGGCGCCGCGGTTGGCTGCACCCTGGGCCTGCTGGCGCACCTCGCGTCGCGGCCGGCCGAGCAGGCGACGCCAAACAAGTGAGTGTATGTCGAGGGCGCGCGCGGCCAGCACGGGGTTTCGGATTTAGGTTCAGGGTTTTGGGTTTAGGGTTTTGCGGTTGGGTTTTATGGCACTGAGTCCTCCTGGCGAGGGCGGCGGCCTGCGCAGCGGATTTGCAGGCTTTCGCTGCGTTTTGCACCTCTGGGGTGTGCTGGGCGTGCAACACTCCCACCAAGCGCATGCCCCATGCGTTCGCCAACACGCCACCGTCTGCTGTGTACAAGACTGGCTTGACCGCGGCCCGCGCCACGCCCAGCTTCCTCCTAAAGTAGTGGATTCAAACCCCAGGGGAGCTCCAGAAGCGGGCAACTGCACAACGCTCTCACAATCACCCCCATGTCTATTATTCAACCCCACTCTACATGATGATCCGTATTATGTTCCGTACTATCCTATCCCTGTTTGACCTCATTTCATCCTATTTTATCCTGCACCCTGCCTCACAGGATGCTTCACGAGGCCAAGTATTGATGTGACCACGTTCCCCAAGCTCGCTCCGCCGCCGCCCGTGCACTGGGCCGATCTGCGACATCGCCAGGCTCTCACTCTAGCAGTCCATGAATAAAGCGGGGCCGTCAGCGCCCCGGTGTGCGGCCACGCGCCTTCTCAAGTGCTTGTGCGCCGCCGACGCCCCCTCCCTTCCGCGCCACGCCGCCTGCCCCCCGCACACCCATCCCCATCTGCCCATTGCCCCTGTGGGTCCATCCTTGGGTCCTTCACACGGAACCCTGAGCGCCTTGAAAACCCTCAGAGCTTACACCTGGCTACAAGATGAGCCGCGCGCCCCGCTCGCCTCATGGAATGTTGTGAAACACTACACGATTGGATGGCCGCTGCACACCAGCAAAAAAAGGATGTGCACCGGTTGCGTGCGCGGGTGTTGACGTGCGTGGCTGCCGCCACCACACGGGTGCTGCGGTTGCGCCGTAACAGTGCTGGCTGATGCAGCAACAGACTGTTGTAAATGTACAAAAAAGAGAGGGTACAAAATCTCTGCAGCGAGGAAGTGCAGACGTCAGTGCAGGAGCTTCTTCACAACCATGTGACGAGGAGAAAACATCAATTTGACCTCGCATCCGGGCGGCGGCAGCTGCAACGGGCTGTGCGCCGCGCGGCCTAAGGCGGCTCGTCAACACGCGGCCCCCAACAGACTGCGGCAGCCCTCGCCCGTACCGCCGGCTTGCCGGTCCGCTGCCGGCGCCTCTGCGGGCACATTGGCCTCGCTGCCGCCGCCGCTGCTGCGGTCGCCGCCGCGCCCAGCCCTTTCACGGGCCGCCGCCGCATCTGCTGACGCGCGCAGCGCAGCCAGGGCCGCCCATGTCACCGCGGCAAGCTGCAGCTCCTCCGCCACCCAGCCGTCCTCCACACCGCTGCTGATGTCAGCATCGTCCACGATGACGTCACCGACGCCCTGCGGGAAGCTGCCGGCCGGCCAAAGGACGGCAGCACGTGCCTCCGCCAGCTCAGAGAAGTACGACACCAGCGCCGGCCGCGGCGCCACCCGCAGCCGCGGTAGCGCCCACGCCGCGCGCAGCAGCTGCCGCCCCGTCAGCGCCGAGCCGCCGCTGCCGCCGCCGCTGGGCTCGCCGCCGCCAGAGGCGGCGCGGCAGAGCTGCAGTGTGAGACCATCAGACAGGTCCTGGGTCGGCAGGGCAAACAGCCGCACCAGCGCCCACGCCAGCCGCACGAGATCCCCCTGCGGCAGCTGCCTCAGCGCGCCCCGCGCCTCCGCCGCGTCGACGAGCGCGCGCCGCAGCGGGACGCCCGCCGGCAGCCGCAGGCGCGCGGCCGCCCACAGCGCCTTGACGAGCGCGCGCGGCTCCATTTCTGCGGCGCGCCCCTCGGCCTGCGACGCCCAGGCGGCCGCAAAATCTTCACAGAGCGGCGCCTCTGCCATTGCCAGCGCCGCCATCACATCCGCGAGCCCCTGCGGGCTGAAGCCGCCGGCCTCGAGCTGCGGCAAGGCAGCTATCTGGAACGCGGCCCACCACTCATCCCCCGGCCGCACTCGGAGCCGCGCGAGGCCCTTTGCTGTGGCGGTGAGCTCCTGGGCCGAGGCGGAGGGCAGCAGCTGCAGGGAAGCTGCCAGGAAGGCGTCCGTCCAGTCGGCCACGGGGCAGACGCGGAGGGCGCCGAGCGACAAAATCACAACTGACAAGTCCTGAGGAGAGGGTTGTTTGTATTGAGACATTGTTGGAGATGCAGATCGTCTGAGGCGAGTTCAGGGCATTTTCGCGGTCAGTGGGTGCCGGATCAAAATTGGAGAGCAGTGCGAGTGCTTTGGATGCGCGCGGGGCGCCGCAGCGGGACCCATGCATGGGCTTGAGGGTGGCGGTGGCGTGCGAAGAGGCACAGGCGCCAGTGCCACTGAGAACTGGGGGAGGGGACGCATGCAAAAACGGAAAGGACACGGGCGTGCCAAACGAGCAGCCTCCGCCTGTGCCCGCCCACCTGCATGCTGCACCCATCCAGCCGCGGCCGCAGCGCCCGCAGGCACCCGCCGAGCCACGCGTCCGGCGGCCGCCGCCGCAGCCGCGCGCACGCGTGCAACGCCATCGAGACGTGCCGCGGCTCCCACGCCGCCAGCCCGCGCGAGGACCGGGCCAGCTGCTCGTCGACCCATCCAGCCGGAGCCGGCGGCGCAGCGCGCGCCATCGCGGCGGTCACGGCCGCGCCGCCGGCGTCGCGGGTCGAGCCGGGCAGCAGGCCCGCCGCGGCGGCGGACGCTGCGCGCGCGGCGAGATTGTGCTGCACGCCTAGCGCCCACATGAAGTTCGCGAGCTCCTGGGGCTTCACGCCATCGCCGCCAAAACCGCTGTAACCGCTGCGCGCCCCCTGACGCTGCATCAGCAGGCAAAGAGAAGCGGTCAGCTCCTGCGGCGGCGCGATGCCCATCACTGCCATCGCCCACATCGCGTTTGCCGCGTCCTGCGCGCGCCCGGCGCCGCCGGCGCCGTCGCCGGCCGCCGTCGCGCGGTGCAGCGCGGACAGCAGCTGCCGCTGCAGCCGCGGCGGCGGCGGGAGGCGGAGGGTCGCCAGCGCCCAAAGCACCTCGGACACGTCGCGAGCACTGGCAGCGCTGAGCACCTCCTGGATTCGTGCCTGCCACGCCGCCGAAAACTCGGGCTCCGGCGCGAGCTGGAGCTTTGCAATTGCCCACACCGCATTGCTCAGCTGCCTGGGCCCACACGCCGGCAGCTGCTGCTGCAGCTTCTCGAGCAGCTGCTGCACGAACGGCCGCCAGTTGGCGGGGCGGCGTGCGCGTGCGGGCGCGCCGGCGGCGGCGGCGGGCAAAGTGGGTGGGCTGCGCAGGCCGCCGCCGTCGCTACCGCTGCCGCTGCTGCTGCCAATTATGACGCTGCTGCCGCTCGAGCGGCCCTCGCCGCCCGCGCCGCCGCCGCCGCCGCCGTCGATGTGGGCGAGTTGGACGAGCGCCGCACACAGATGGATGTGGTTGCAGTGGCGCGAGTAGCGCGCGACCAGCACAGCCACGTCGTGCCAGCTCCTGGCGCGCTTGATCCAGGCGGTCAAGCCGGGGGGGTCGATCCGTTCGTAGACGCCGCGACGAGAGGACGCGTCGCGGGCGCCAGGGGCGCGGCCACGGAAACAGATGGGCGCGCCGTACGCGGCGTGCGGCTGACGCGTGTGGTGGAGCTCTGCAGGGTGCTGGTCGTGGGAGACCTGCTGCTGCTGCTGCTGCGCCTGCTGCTGCTGCTGATGATGATGATGATGATGATGCAGCTGCGGGTTGGCCACGCCGGCCGGCGCGCAGCGCGGCGCCAGTAAAGCGCGTCCCGGCCACTGGCGCCGCTGCTGCACTAGGAACCCCGGGGCCGCCCCGTGATGCCGGCTTGGAGCTTGCGCGGCTATGGGCCCTCTTTCAGCGTTCCTGAATAACCCACTCGCTCCCGCGTGGTGTGATGGGTGCGCCATTGTCTCTCGACGCCAGCATATCTGTCCTGCACCTTGCCGCCCGCGAAATCGGTCGGATACAAACTATACACGACTCGAACGAACACACTCCATCAACTGTCACCTTCACACTCGAGATCGGCAAACTTCCCGGTATTCGTCCCGGCAACTCCGTCTGCTTCCGCACGACTCGTTCACGCCTGAGACGCTCGCGTACGAACTAGGTGGATTGCATCTTCCTACCTCAGCTGCGGCGCGGCCAAGAGCCTTGCCTACTGGTGCACGGTCGAATGCGGGATCACAGTCAAGCGTTTGCAGCACGCCGACCAGATTGCGAATGCAGCTTGCACGCCATGCCGTGTGCTAGAGCATTCATGTGAAAATTTCCAAGCGGATAGCGCACTGCAGCAATTGGCTGGGCAAACGGCAGCCCAGCAAGGAGGAGAGGAGGAGGTTGACCAACCTTGCACAACAGGCATGCAGTGCGCAGTGGGGCGGCCGCAACCCTGACGACCGTGTGCCGCAGAGCCCTGCACCCTGAATTAAATGCATTAGCACTTTGGTTCAATGAATGTGTCCACTGTAGGCGGCAGGCGCAAAACCAGTCGGGCTGGAGGGCATCTGTTCCACCTGCTTACACGCAACAACATGGGCAGGTGAAGCCACCCACTCGAAGTTGATCATCGATTTAAGAATCAAGGTAGAACTGACATGCATCAAGGTGCAGGCCCATGCATCGCTTGTGGAGGAGGGGCTCACCCATGAGTCGGCAGAGATTATGTCAACGTTCCCTTGGGTTCCATTTCGATAGACGTTTCATCTAGAGCATGCAGTCGTGCTCGGCCCTTCACTATGCTATTATACTTTGGCACCCTCTTCTACTGACCAGAAGCACCCCAGTGAAAGCCTGCAGCAGCGACTCGTTTCCACGAAGCGGCGCCGCGCCCACAGCGACAACCCCGTGCAGCAGCGGAGCGCAGCAGATCGGGCAGCATGGCCGAGAGCGTCAAGAGAAGCGTCAGCTTCAGCTCCAACTATCCGTTCCCGTGCCTGCTGTGGCCTGAGGATGAGGAGCCGGGAGGGCCAGCGGACGATGACGCACGGTCAGCAGCCGAGCCAGAAGATGAGGGCGAGCAATTCGAGCTTGACGAGTTCTTCGACGTCGCTAGGGAGCGCTCCAGCGCTTCCATACGGCCCAAGCCAGCAGTGGCGGCCAACGGGCAACCGCTGGTGCGACCATGATGGCGTCACCTGATGGCCAGGCACCCGTTAGTGCGCCGTGCCGCAAGGCCGTTGCAAGGAATTCTTTGAAAGTCTCCACAGCAGCGCCGTCGTGCCTAGTATTGAAGTGCAAAGGCCCCTCGCCACCCGCCCTGAAGCAC